CGAGAAGCCGCCCCGGGAGAGCGAGTCGCGGGAGCAGCCGCCCCGCCGCGGAGCGGGCGTGGGGGGAAGCCGCGCGCCATGAGCCCCGAGGAGAAGCAGCCGGCGCCCGGGAGCCGCAGCCGCGAGGGGCGGCCGCCCCCGGCGCCCCCTCAGGCGCAGCCCGGTCGCGGGCGGCGGCGGGGCGGCCTCCTCAGCGAGATCCGCACGCCCATCCGCACGGAGCCCTTCCAGGAGCGCTACAGCCTGAGCCCCGGCAGGGAGCTCGGCAGGTGAGCCGCGGGGAGCCGGGCTCTGCTGGCGCGGGCGCGGAACGCCACGCCAAGAGGGGAAGAGCCAAAGAGCTGGGGGCGTGCAGGTGGCACTGCCAGTGCCGCGCACCCCGCGCTCGCTCCGCAGCCACCCGCGGCTCGGTCCGCGCTCTGGTTGTAAGAGGCGCCTGGCAGGCTGCGCGCGAGCGTGTGGGCAGGCAGCCTCGCGGAAGGGTGGTCACCCCAGGAGCAACGCGTGCGGGGTGGTTCAGCACCGCTAAACCGCTGCCTCTGCCTGAAAATCCACCGCTTCTCGCGCTGATGATGGTGCTCTTGCTCAGGAGCCCGTGTCCCTTAGGTAAAGAGCCTTCGGATCAAAAAGGTGAGGTGATGCAGCCCGGGATACGCTGCGAGATACGCTCTTCAATCTGCGTGCCTTGGTAAGCTGAGGTAGCCGCATGGCTGTGTTTGTGCGGCAGCAAAAGGAACCTTTTTGGTGAGAATGAGAAGAGGAGCCTTTCAGAGCACGCGTTGGCGCTGGAAGTGCCTCCCCAAAGTGTTTGGGGCACATCAGCGTTGACCCAACACTTGCCTTAGCAACTGGGATCCTCATACTCCAACACTTGGTTAATCATGGTAGCCTGGAGCATTGGCCCCGAGAAGCAGGTGGGAGAAGACGGAGCCACAGAGCCAGGAAGCTCCTTTCAGTGTGACATAACCCCTGTGCCAGAGCCTGCGGGCTGAAGCTGGGTAAATACAGGCCAAAAAAACAGCACAAATACTGAGTAGCAGTTCACTAACCACAGGGGCAATGYGGCACAGGAGGTGCTCACAATTTATGTATTTTTTTTAAATTTTTTCAGAGCTCAGATGACTTTTTTTAGCAAAGACTTAGTAGCTGTGCCCCGGAGYGAGAGCGTACATTACAAGCTGGTTGATATTCATTGATCATATTCATCAAAAAAATACTGGAGGAAGGTAGTGGTTGCTTCGGGCACGCAAGCTAAAACTGAAGTGAACAGCAATTCGTACAGCTGCAGATCTCTTTAGGTTGAACAATAAACCTCGATGTGGCTTTTTGTATGGAGTTGTTCTTGATCACTGTGTGATCTTCACACAGTGGTTGTGAGTCTGTACGTACAGTTACATTAAAAAGAGTTTTCTAAATGTTTGTCTTGCATTTTGCAGTTGTTGCATGTGTGCTAGTTCACGCTGCCTTTTTAGTTCACACTATTGTCAGTGTCTTCTCTTAAATACAGAAATTGATACGTTTGAATGTATGTATGGTTTTTTAGGTCAACATTTTGTAATGTTTAGGGGGCTCCTGTGGCACTTGTGTAATGAACAATTAGTTTTTAGCACAAGTACTTCCAAGATAGATTCTTTCCTGCTAACTCATTGTGAAAAAGCAAAAGTGGTCAARTGGAAAGTCTCTCTAACATTTATAAAAGTGTCTTATATTTTGTTGAGAAAGAACACTTAACAGTAATTCTTTCTTTTTGTTTTTTTAATCTGTTTATAAAGCATGGAAGTTTTTACTTCAAGCAGAGTTTAGCTTTCMGAAGGACTTGGACACATTGTCACACAGATACAGCTCATTTTTAGGTCTTGGATAAAATGCAGCTCTGTGCATGCAACATACTCTATTTTCATTCCGTTTTGCTAGTCTAATTTGCTGAGGAAACAAAGGTGATTCAGTCTCTACTAGGTAATCCCTTTTCGCTGAATTGAGGAGAAATAATTTGAGAGTTGATCTTTGGATAGAGGTTTCAAAAAAAAAATTATTCACATAAACTTTGCTTAGAGTTGGTTTTAAAAGGAAGCAGGTTCAGAACCGCTGTGGAGGGCAGTGCAGCCGCATGAGCTCGGGAGCAGCTCTTTGGCCTGCGGCTCAGTCAGCACACACGTGTGGTGGAGCTGGCCGTGGCACTGGGCCGCTTGTCCTGTGTCCCCTGTCACCTCCGTGCAGAGGAGGTGGGAAGTGGGAGGGAGCCAGGATAGGCACCAAGGGTGACGCAGTCATAGAAATGACTGAGTCTATCCAAGTACAACCACTAGGCAAAAAAAAAYCCCACAAATGAATTCAGGAAGAATGCTAAAAACTTGGAACAATGGCCAATCTGGAAAAATATTTCAAGTCGCTTAAACTGACATGGAAATCGCGGTTATGGATTTTATTTTTAATTAAATGTTTTAGTTAAATTTTGGGCTAGTCTTCACAGTCTTACTGACTTTATTGTCCTGAAATCAGAATGTTTCCACCCAGATCTCCATTTCAGTTTGAATAGTGTTTAAAATCGAAGGGCTGAGTGGGTTTTGGAGGTGCCGCTGGTGGTCCCCTCACTSTGACTTCTGCACTAGCTTCAGCTACGTCGGCGTGAGCAGTGTAACCTCTGCAGGGGACTGGGCAGGCGTCAGCCGCTTGGCTGCTCCCTGTACCCTCTGCAGTCAAGCTGAAGTTTTAATGGGAGGTGAGGAAAAATATTTCTATTACTTCTATTACTTCTATTACTTCTATTACTTCTATTACTTCTATTACTTCTATTACTTCTATTACTTCTATTACTTCTATTACTTCTATTCTATTCTATTACTTCTATTCTATTCTATTACTTCTATTCTATTACTTCTATTCTATTCTATTACTTCTATTCTATTACTTCTATTCTATTCTATTACTTCTATTCTATTCTATTCTATTCTATTCTATTACTTCTATTACTTCTATTCTACTACATTACTTCTATTACTTCTATTACATTACTTCTATTCTATTACATTACTTCTATTACTTCTATTACATTACTTCTATTACTTCTATTACATTACTTCTATTACTTCTATTACTTCTATTCTATTACATTACTTCTATTACTTCTATTACTTC